TTTTCGTTTGTTTTTTCCAACAAAATAATTTACATTGAATCTCTTTACTACCCAAAGGTTTCACATCACAGTGCCGCTTAAAGTTAAGAGTGAAGACGCTTTCTGCTGCCAATTCAAGCCATGCAGCTTTATCATGTGCGATTTATCATGGCCAGAATCATCTTTCTCGAATCAAATTTATTATCAGAATCCCAATAGCGACCAACAACTGTAGGTATTTCAAATCCATTTGCAAATCACATGTGCAAACAAGTAAAATGGGAGAACATACAATCATCTTCCATTATACATAAATATATGTATATCTACTTATAGATGCGAATGCTGATATAGATGTAGAATATACATACACATACACATATATATATATATATATACGTGTATAGAGTATTTTTGTGTGCATGTGCTGTTGCCCCTTGTGGCATGCTACAATTTTATTATTACGTTTATTTGACTTCATATGCATACGTAAGCAGTTTGGCTGGCGTTGACTGCACAACACAGCAGAAAGTGGCGGCGGTTGCAACAACAACAACAACAACAACAACAAGTCATAGCAATTTGCATTGAAGTGCTGCTGTTGTGGCAGTCATTGTCATTGCTGTTGCTGTTGTTGTTGTTGTTGTGGTTTCTGTTTATGTGCGTTCGCTCGTAAATCTTTGCATAGCATGCCCCACAAGGCACATGCAGACACATGCCAAGCAAACCTTAACCACACACGCACGCAGAGACCCACCCACAACAAGCCCACAACACACTCACACATATAAGGATAGAGAGAGAGAGAGAGAGAGGGAGACAATGTCTGCCATGCTCCCTTCTACACATCTGCAACAGCAAAATTTCAACTGAACGCAATTCTATTAAATTATCATTACACTGGGATAAACGTGCCCATCCATGTGTGTGGCATGTGCATGTCTATGTGTGTGGCAAATTACATTATACAATTCACGTTGAATTGTTTGAGCTGCCGCACAACAGCAACAGCAACAGCCAGAGCAGAAGCAGCAGCAGTGCCAGTGCCAGTGGCAGCAGCGTGGAGACACATTTACCGTTTACAGACACTTCTGCAACATCCTCTGCGGTGGCCACTTCATGACACGAACGAACGGGACACTACCTTCAATTATATACACATATACTTGTATTTATTTATATATATATATAATATTATGGGTGTGTGTGTGTGTGTGTGTGTGTTTGCGGTTAGTCTCTGTGGGTGGTCAGTTGTGGCTAGGTTGCAGACTCGAATTGAATAATTCAATTATGTGCTGCGTTTAATGTGTCGTGCGTCTGTTCATGTATCGCAATATACTTGTACGAGTATTATGTGTTTCCAACCAAACTAATTTCAATTTTCATAATTTGACAAAGCGTCGTCCCCTTCCTCTTGCCAGCTCCCCTCTTGCCCCATTTGTTTGTAATGAATTTTGCAGGCAAGCTAAAATTGCATTTGTCTGCTTGCAACGTACTCTGCTATCCTGGCTTGCGACTGAAGTTGAAGCTGCAGCTTGTGTTCGTAATGCGTTGCACTGTTTTGCAATTCAAATGCTATTTGTGCTTGATATGCCACCCCGCTCCCCAGCAACTTCTAGTTGGTGAGGGGAGGGGGAGGAAGGGAAAGCGTGCAGACTAGCAACAATCCAGTCACGTACGTTGCACGACGATGAAGTGGCAAGCAGCAGGCACGAGGCTCTAGCCAGCCAGCCAGCATTTGTGATTGTCTGCAAAGCTCGTGCACAAAATACACATTTCATGGAAGGTTGTTCGCGCATTTTACCAATACACACACTCACATTCTATGCATCCTTTGCTTCTGTCCACATCTTCGGTGCACATTCATGCAACGCGTGCCACTTGGCATCAACGTGATTTGGCGCTCTAGTGACTAAAATCCAACACCAACACCAACACCAACGCCAACGCTCTGCCGTTGCAGTTGCAGTTGCCACCACTGGCTGTCGTTGCCTGTCAGGGGATATTGGGGATTTTCAGTGTTGCTCGCTTTTATCTGTCTGTCCGTTTAGTTTACCAGTTGTGCCAAGTGTCCTAAAAAAATGGCCATCAAAACATAAGCCAACACCCGCTGACTAAATTGCATTTAAAGTGGGTTAGCAGGGTTGCGGAAGTTTATTAAACTAACTATTTAAAATAGTCGTAATAGACTTATATCGCTGTAGAGTGATTGGTTGTTGAAAAATATGCTAGCATATTTATATATATATATATATATATATGTTCCTATAAAGGACACCTTTAACGTGAAAGATATGTTAATACGATGAGCAATGCTGCATTGGATATTTGTGGCGAAAAAAACCAAAGAATTTCCGAATTTTGTTGCTTTATTTTGCAACTTGAAGTAAAAGGAATGAATGTCCTTAAAATGGGAAATCCCCCACTGGTTAAATGAAGTCTAGGCTGTAGACTACATATTATTTACTTTAAGTAAAACGAATTAATGCCCTTCAAATGGGAAATCCCTGACTGGTTAAATGAAGTCTAAACTTTATACCTTATTGCTATAGTTCTTTAGAAATAGGTATGTACTCGTATATTGCCAATAAATATACACATCTTTGTATTGTGTCTGCGAGTTGTTGAAGCCGTTCTTATTCCGGTTAAATAATTTAAACTGAATTACCAACCTGTGTTATCTTACACGACTGCTTCTTCAGGGAGTGCGTTTTACAAACATTTAAAAAACAATTGAAGAAGTAAAGTCGGGGTTCCACAAATTCTCTAAACCTATGTGTAGAGTAATTACTTATGTACATCTATATATTTAACAAAATTTAATACAAATAAAGAAAAATATGCAAAATTCTAAATCGATTTCAAAGAAATCGAATAGAAACTAATGCCTCTGACTGATTGATGAACACTCAACGCATTTGAGTTAATATGCAAATAATTTGTTGTTTCCATAAATAGAAATGCTGAAAAACGTTGTTTTTTTATTGAATATAGAATAAGAGTTCAAATTAAGAATGAACAGTTGAAATATTCAATTATGTATTAAAATACAGAGCATACCTTTAATTTGAATACGAATTAACAAAAATAACAATTAATATTAAACCGAAAGTTAAAATACGAATGAATCTTGATAAGAAAGTACTCTGAAACTTTTTAATTACAAGTACTTTTGTCAAGAATTAAGGATGAAGAAAATGGAAAGATACAATTATTTCTTTCCTTTTAGAACAAAGGTATGTTTACCTATAATTGTATAATTTCCCTGGGCAATAAAGAGGGGCTCTTTTAAAGATTTACTTTAATGATAATATTAAGTTAAAACTAGCCTGATTTGGCATTGAATTAATTAACTTCCAGCACATATGTATTTATAATCGGATTCAATCGTTTTCTCGATAATAAGTGCCAAAGTAATTCGACTTCTTATAAGTCGCACAACATTTAAATCGGCAATTGCAATATTTCATACGTCTACACTCATTGAAAATAAATAATATACTATTTAGCAAAAATTTCATTTAAACAGCACTTTTTTAAAAGCTATGCCTCAAGCTGGCTGGCTGCATGCTTTTTTGCTGACCGTGTGGCAGAAAAATGAGTTGTTTTTGTTGTTGTTGCTGTCATTCAACACCCACGCCCTCGCTAACCGAGTTCAATGTCTTTGAGCCAAAATGTTCAAATTAATGACAACAACAAACTCCATTCACCTTCAAAAATAAAAAACTCAGCGCAAATTGATTGAATTGTATGCAAACTTGATGAGTTTTAAATTTAAATTAATTGCTCGCGCGAATAAAAAAAAAATAAGAGAGAACGCTAATGTCGGGCCAGCTCGACAGTGCAATACCCTGTACCCAGCCATATTTCAAACCTCAGATAATTCGTTTTTATTACGTTCAAAGCCCTAATGATAAGAAGAGATTAAAGAGGAGTTTCTTTTTAACCGATTTTTCAATGTAAGGATATGCTAGTTTGTGAATTTAGGTATAGATTTTCTGCTGCGTCAGAGCATTGGGAATATAAAGGAAGGAGCCTCTAAGGGGTAAAAGGGTATACTAATTTAGTGAGAATGCATGTAACACATAGAAGAAGCGAAGACAGACCTCACAAAGTAGATGTATTCTTGATCAGAATTTTTTGTCATTTTTGTTAGATTTCCATTCTTTAACTGCAAAGATCAACCAAATTATGAACGGTAATTATCGATCAGAATCGTTTTTAACTATATACTATAGTATTTGGATTCATTTAGAAAGTCGTTATTAATTGATAAAATTCCGAAAAATAGAATAGAGAATCTGGATACCAACTTTGGTTATTCCAGCTTTTATAGTTTCTGAGATCCTCGCGTTCATCCAGACGGACAGACGGACGGACATGTCTAGATCGATTTCTCTCGTCATGCTCATTCAGAATATATATACTTTATGGGGTCGGAGATGCTTCCTTCTGCATGTTACATACTTTGCACAAACCTAATATACCCTTTTTACCCTACGGGTACAGGGTATAAAAAGAAAACTATTGTTCAGATTAAAAGAAGGGGAAGGCTTGAGAAAAGTTATAATCTCAGGTCGGAAACTGTAGAAAACTTTGGACAATTCAAATGCCAGTTAAGTGACAGCCACCAGCAACAGCAGTAAAAGCCATGGCAACAACAACAATAATTGCAGTGGCAACTACAACATTGCACAGTTGCTTTAACAATTCGCGATAAATTAGCAGCCAAGTCTTATCCCCCTCTACCCTGGTGTTTGTTTCACGCATTTTCACTTCGTAATGAAACTCGAATTGCAAATAACGTCGACATTTATACCGCTCCTGGCCGACTGCTACTTTGTCTGCTTGGTGTCTCTTAACACTTTTTAACCAAACAATTTCAAACATTCACACTCGATCTCTTCTCGATTGCGGGTTAAACTGAAGTTCAGTTGCAGCTGGCAGCTTGTCAATTTTTTTACCTGCAATAATTCCTGGAAGTCCGCTTTTATCACGCCCCGTATAGAAAACAACAAATCTTAATCCTTTCACCCGCGTTAGTGCACACTTTATTTAACTGAACAGTCAAGTCATTTTTGTTGTAATTTTAAGTATTATTGTGAGGCCCCAGTCCACCTCACCGGACATTGCGGCAACTAATTTATAGAAACCCTCGGGCAAAACTTCCGGCAATCCCGCGCCCGCAACTTCGCAACGTTTAAATTCATATTTATTCTTGGGCCATGGTGGTTTGAAATTGTCCTTATATACCGGCAGATTTGAACAGTTTGAGAAATTCTTTACGAATTCCTTGTACAATGTGTTTATATAATCGTGGTACTTTTGTTTGGGTACAGACCAGGGCGTTAGTCTATAGTCGTAGTTGCTACCTGTCGGACTACGATAGATAAATACCTCAATCTATACAAAAAAAAAAGTGGTTTATATATCTCTGTATCTAGGAAGAAAGCGAATTCCTTACCATTGTATCATCACTGGTATCATATTTCCACTCAATGTTCCCCGTTAAGGCATATTCGCCTCGATTTACTCGATCAATTTGAAAATGTAACTTCACTTTCTCTTCATCTGCTGAGGTCGAAGTTATGGACTTAGGTTCGTACTCCCAATTGCGCTGTGCATCAAAAAAAATAAAAACGAGGTGTATAGCACTATTTTGAATATTGCATATACTTTCTACTCACTTCTGCTGCAGAAAGGACACATAGCAGCAGGACAGCTATGCCGAGAGAAACCAAAGAGAGACGCATTTAGGAAATGTTTTAATAAGCAATGATACGAGTACACTGATGTAAAACACTGGATCACCTTTACTTTATATACAAAGTAACTTTTGATTCCCTTTATAGATTATGACCACATTTTTGAACTAATTAATATTGTTGCGGTTGTTATTGCCACATATTTGTAGATCTACACAAATTAAAAACTTACATGGAACAGCATGTCCTCAACGATCAGTTTGCGAACTATCAACATGTTATGTAAACGAAAGCTATTATACTTATTTATATAAATGAATGTAGTTATAAATTCAATTTGTATAAAATGAAACCCCCTGATTTGATGTAGAATTTCCCGTTCTCAGAAACCGAATTCAGCAATTTATTTGCGGATTTGTGAAAATGCAACTTACGCCAAGTTTTTTAAAGAGAATTTAAACTATTTAATTTTAACAGAGCAGGTCGCCTTTTTGAGCGGTCTGTGCAATTGATAATACATACATTTATGACTATATTTGCTCGATATGCTTCATTTTTATATCCTGTACCCGTATGGTAAAAAAAAGTTATTTTAGTTTTGTGCAAAGTATGTAACAGACAGAAGGAAGCATATGTATATATTCTTAATCAGCAGGACGAGAGAAATCGAACTTGATATGTCCGTCCGTCCCTCCGTCTGTCCGTCTGTCTGGATGAACGCAAGGATCTCAGAAACTATAAAAGCTGGAATAACCAAAGTTGGCATTCAGATTCTCCTAGGTCCGAGAAAGGACGAGTTTATTTTCCACCGCTACAGAATTTCGTAACGTTCTCTCTTGTTCTTCTTGTTGTTGTTGTGATTGTTTACAACAATTTGTATTCAAATGATTAGCGAATTAAATTGTATTCCGACATCAGAGAATGCGAAGTCGACAACGTTGTCTCATCGAATTGGTGTGAAATCAACATATGAGTAGACAAGTAGTGTACAAATTTATGTGTGGGTGTGCGTGTGTGTAGAATTGAGCCCATTTAAGACAGCTAATAAAGCAAATAAGACATAACCTGCAGTTCATTGTCTGCATTGCGTTTTCACACTTGCATTTAAGGCAGTCAGGGAGGTAGGCAGCCAGTCAGCCAGTCAGCCAGTCAGCCAGGTAATAAATAATGCAAATTAATTAATGTGCAATTCATTTTGAGGCAACGACAAATCGCGTGCGCCCACACAAAACCAGAAGCTACAGCAACGGCAACAGCAACAATAATATTATCAACAACAACAACAACAACAATAACAACCACCAGCAAAGTGGCATAGAGAAACATTTATTAGAGGCTTGTCGAGTAGCACCGTCGATGCCGCCTGCAATTTGCGCCAAATGCCGGCTAATTTAATTCAAAGTGGCCCCGGGGCCCCAACCACAGGCACACTAATGCCATAAAACATACAATGCGATTTTCATACACATATACATATTTACGAGTATGTATGTACTCCCCTGTATGTATTTACAGAGACTAGTCCACATGCATTTAACATTCTATGAGGCTCTGCCGCCGTGAGTTTGTTTTGTACTTGTACATACAACTACGTACAGCACTTGGCACGTTCCGTGCCGGCGAAAAATTCTCATAATAATTAAACGAAAACGCGTTGATTGCATGCAATTTGCATTTTACGACTGCAGCGATGACTACGACTCTACGTAGACGACCACGACGACGACGACGACGACGACGCCGATGGGGAGGGGATGGGTTGGGTTGGGTTGGGATGATGACTATGGGGACGATGATGGGGACTATGCGGACGCATCGTTGATGGCAGGCCACAAATACGACCTGCTAAATGGGCACAGTGCGCTCGTTTGCTTGGGCGCTATAAAATCGCATATCTGCAAGATACGCACACATAAATGCACACACGCTGCCTACATAGCTGCAGACATGTGCACACGTAAGTATGCCAGCTACATACACTTGGCGAAATAGTGTAGCACTCGCTGCGTAGCTAGACTTCAAAGATCACAAATGCATTTCAGCTCTTTATTTTACAACTTGAAAAGTTACTTCCATCAACTAATATACCAGACTTTCTTTTGATAACAAATTTTATCGTCTTAATGATAAATATTAATCTCTGTACCTGAGCGGTATATTAAGTATGTTATACAAGTAGGCAAGAAAAATCACTTCGGACCCCACAAAGTATGTAGTTATATTCCTAGCAGACTTTCGTCTGTCTGGATGAACGCCTGAATTTTGAAAACGACTGTGGATATATTGAACAAACTCGTTCTATAGACTCTACTAATCACTAGGCAACTGGAGTAGAGGTGAAGAACTATCGATGGCACTATCGATAGTTTTAGATAATCTTTCTTGAAAGCTTTATTAACAACTAACAAAGGGCGCACAATATAATTATAGCTCGCAGCATGTATATAACTTTGTAAAACAATTTATTAATATTTATTATAAAATCAAATGCACTATCGATAGTTTTTCTTGTAAGCTTTACCAACAACTAACAAAGGGCACATAATATAATTAAAAAGCTTTCACCCAGGCTGAATCACTGTAGTAACAGATCCCAGTCCATCAAATTCAAACCGAACGCTTGTTCGTTGTAGGTATGAAAAATATTAATTTGTTGCTCTTTTAAAATAAGAACCCATGGCTTATATCAAAATATGTTTATACAAGTAATTCTGTGTATGAATCCATATTTTCTACATTAATAACAACGAAATATTAAATTTGTTGTTGAATTTTAGTTTTCTATTTAATGTAAACGCATATTTGTATATATTTGTAAACATATTTGTTTAAATCACTATTGGTGTTCTGAAAACTATCGATGGTTTTCTGAATATTATTGTTGACTATCGATTGTACCGACTATCAATATTTCTCCACCACTAAACTGAAGTATAATTACTTTTTTATTATTTTTCCTCCCCTTCCCCGTCAAAGAATTTCATTAGTACAAAATTTCACAGCTGCATAAACTAAGCTTTGTTTTTGTAAAATAGAATATTTCACTGTCGGGTTCTGACTCTACTATAACGTATCACGTTCCAGACAGTTTTGAGCTTCCAAATATCGTCATATCTAATTATTTATAAGTGACTGTATCAATTACCGTTTCATAGCTGTTTTATTAGATTTGATTTCGTATTTCAACTCTTTTGGCAAACAATTTAGATATTTTAGAAAATTTTATCAATCAAAATGGCTCCATAATTCTACAGATTCGTAAAACAGCAACAATTAGCCGTAAAGAGAACCGTAAACGAGTGCTAAATTTGTTTTAATTTAAACATAAGCTCTTCTGCTTGATAACTAGAAAATCAGCTAGTATTTAAGATTTTTCAAAACTTTAAAAAAGAAGCGAGATAGTATGCCCCTTTTCTTAAGAGAAATAATGGAATTAAATTTCAATACATTATTAAATTAATGAAGTAAACTTAACCAGCTCGATTCCACCTCAAAATAAAAAGAGATGTTAGTTTGGTTTTTTTTTTTAGATTTTGGCCCATATTTAAGAAAATGTTAATTAATTTGTATTAAAGCAAACTGAAGACAAAGCACAAGTGCTTAGAAGAGAATAGGAGAATAAACAATTAACAAAGGAAACAATGCTGTAAATGGGAACCAATTTAGATAAGGGCAGAACATTATTGTGAAAAGGATGTAATTCTTGCTTTCTCTGAGTGCAGATGTGCCTGAAAGCCATTGTCGTTGGCTTAGGTGAGCCATTTTGGATGTTAAGCTCGGCTCGGTCTTGCTTAATTGCATTGTGCGCCCCTAGGGCGATGAAAAGGACAAGCTGCTTTACCTGAATCATTGTCACTGTCATTCAAATGCCAATTTGCATGCACACCAATCCAATGCCAATCCTGCGCTCATGCCACCTTACTGCCGAGCGAGTCAGGCGTGTATAATTGAAACTCAATAACTGAGCAGTGTTCGTTCCATTATGCCGATGTCCGCCAACACCTCGCACGTCAATTCTCGACAATAGACGTGTCGTTAACGGCTGCGGCTTTCCCAGGCTGGCGACATCGCCGCCGCCGACATTGTTGATTAGCTCGATTAAACAAATTAGCCGTGCATATGAATGCGTGTGCAAGAGGACCCGACCCCTAATGATAATAATAATAATGATGACAGAGAGCTAGTTAGTCAATGTGTTCGAGTTAATCTAATTGCACACACAAGTATATATATATACAGATATGAATGTATATCAGAATGAATCAAACATTTTAGGGATGTACTATAAATCGAAGAAAAAACATCGATGTTGATGTATCTTTATAAAAAATCGATGCATCGATGTTCTAAAATATTAACTACTAAATATTATGATGACAGAGAGCTAGTTAGTCAATGTGTTCGAGTTAATCTAATTGCACACACAAGTATATATATAGTACATATATGAATGTATATCAGAATGAATCAAACATTTTAGGGATGTACTATAAATCGAAGAAAAAACATCGATGTTGATGTATCTTTATAAAAAATCGATGCATCGATGTTCTAAAATATTAACTACTAAATATTATGATGACAGAGAGCTAGTTAGTCAATGTGTTCGAGTTAATCTAATTGCACACACAAGTATATATATATAGTACATATATGAATGTATATAATAATGAATCCAACATTTTAGGGATGTACTATAAATCGAAGAAAAAACATCGATGTTGATGTATCTTTATAAAAAATCGATGCATCGATGTTCTAAAATATTAACTACTAAATATTATGATGTCAGAGAGCTAGTTAGTCAATGTGTTCCAGTTAATCTAATTGCACACACAAGTATATATATATATATACAGATATGAATGTATATAAGAATGAATCCAACATTTTAGGGATGTACTATAAATCGAAGAAAAAACATCGATGTTGATGTATCTTTATAAAAAATCGATGCATCGATGTTCTAAAATATTAACTTTGCATAGAAAAAAAGCTAATATTAAGGAGAAAATCAACAGAAATGTTTGAAATGAAAAATGTTTATATATCAAGAGATTTTCTTAATCAATAAAGTACTCGTAATATTGACTTT